TCTAAAAGTACATATTATAAAAAACCTAAAAATAAATTTTTTTTTTCATGTTTAATGCCAAACACAGCCTTAAAGTAACATTGCAACATGGTATCGTGGACCAGATATCAGTCAACTTTTCTAAAACCCTAAAAAAATAAAAATAAAATAAAAAATCGTTATCAGAGAAAATGATAATTATGGAAATCTCGAATAACTTGGTGAAGTAACCCAAGCCAAGACTCGCCTTCTTCCTCTGCTTCTGGTCCTTCATCACCATACCCAGATAGAAATTGAGCGGATTAAACTGGTTTTGATTTCTGTGTTGTAGGTAATTATGGGAGGAAATGGGAAGCACCGGTGGAAAATTTCGTTTTATCACCGTTCCGGTTCGTCTCCGAGGAGGCAGCGGCCGGAACAGCAACCGCCGGAGGAATTCCTCTGCCCGATTTCCGGGTCTCTAATGTCAGACCCGGTTGTGGTTCAGTCGGGTCAGACCTTTGAGCGGGGCTGTGTGCAGGTTTGCTTGGACCTGGGATTCACTCCGGCGCTCTCTGATGGTTCCGTTCCTGACTTTTCCGCGCTCATTCCTAACCTTGCCATCAAGTCGGCCATCCTTTCATGGTGCCGTACCACCGGTACGGACAACCCGCAGCCGCCCGAACACGACTCTGTTGAGAGGATTGTTCGTGGGAAGATGGAAGAGAAGGCGAGGGAGTTAGGTCCGGATATTAGGGTGTCGGAGAGGGAGCTGTTGAAGGCGGTGGCGGAGAACCCGCCGGTGATATTCTCGCACGCGGCGACGGAGGTGGGTCCCCGGGTCAATCATTTTAATTCGAGCTCGTCGTCTGATGAATCGGTGATTGTTGCGGCTAGCCCTTACACGCCGTTGCCGCTCGCCAGGCGACCCGCTTGTCTCTCCTCTGGTTCATCTCCCTCGTCTGGTGACATCGCCGATAGCGAAATCCTGACCCAAAACCCTAATTCCCAATCTTCTTCTCCTGAGGAACAGGAGTTGTTTCTGAAGCTTAAGAGCAACGACGTCTACGAGCAAGAACAAGCTGTGATTTCACTGAGGAAGATCACGAGGACAAAAGAGGAGGCTAGGGTTTCCCTCTGCACTCCCCGGATACTCGGCACTCTTCGGCCGTTGATCCTCTCGAGGTACAGCGTCGCGCAAACGAACGCGATTGCTTCCCTGGTGAATCTCTCACTAGAGAAACCGAACAAGGTCGTCATCGTGAGGTCGGGATTCGTCCCTCTCTTAATCGACGTGTTAAAGGCGGGATCGAGTGAGGCACAGGAGCACGCCGCCGGCGCACTCTTCAGCTTAGCTCTAGAAGACGAGAACAAGATGGCGATTGGCGTCTTAGGGGCGTTACAGCCACTACTCCACGCGCTAAGATCCGATTCTGAGCGAACTCGCCACGACTCAGCTCTGGCCCTGTACCATCTGTCTCTGACTCAGTCAAACCGAGTCAAACTCGTGAAACTCGGCGCCATTTCAACTCTATTATCGCTTGTGAAGACCCCCGACATGGCAAGTCGCGTGTTGCTGGTGCTGTGCAATTTGGCTGCGAGCAATGAAGGGAAGTCCGCCATGCTTGACGCCAATGCGGTGGAAATATTGGTGGGACTGTTGAGGGAAGAAAATGTAGACTCAGAAGCAACTCGGGAGAATTGCGTGGCAGCCTTGTTTGCGCTCAGCCATGGCAGCATGAGGTTCAAGGGTCTGGCTAAAGAGGCAAGAGCAGCAGATGTGTTGAGAGAGGTGGAAGAAAGAGGTAGTGAGAGGGCCAGAGACAAGGCAAGGAGGATTTTACAGATGATGAAGGGCAGGGAAGAAGAGGATATAAACTGGGAGGCAGCTCTGGATTCTGGTGGAGTCAGCCGGCCTCATTACCGGGTTGGCAAAGATGTTTTTGGTGCAAATTCTACTAATTTTTAAGTGTAATTATGTTTTTTTTTTCCTTAATCTTGGATCATTAATTGTTTGGGATGTGAAATGTGTACAGAGAATAGGGTGTTGTTAGAGTGATTAGAAGGAAATTCGTGTGGTTTTTAGGTTTTGATTTCTTGGAACTTCTTTTGCTTAATAAGCTATGTGTAGAGAAATGAAGATCAATTTGCTGGAATTTTATGGTTTAAGTTCTACATTGTTGTTAATCTTGTTTATTGCCTGTGAATGTGATCCGAGTTTCAGTAAACAAGAATGAAACATGTCCTCTTTTGTTGTATCCTGAAAATTACTCTCCAGATTTTTTAAGAAGGTTCTTCTTGCTGGTAAACAGCGCGCTTCATTGGAATTGATTTCATCCTTCCACAGCTGTCAACATTGAAAAGGTACGCACAATTCAACTTGTTCTTTTAACTTTGAAAAGTCTGCTGTTATTGTGTTGAATTTTGGTCAGTCTTCTTCTTTGTTTTATTCCAGCTTTTTTGTAGCTTCCATTGGTCATTGTCTTTATTGTTTTGGACATATTGCTTTTGGACTTAATATGTGATTGCGACTTTTCTTATTTCCTAGCGACTAATATTGGGTGGGAAATAGCAGCGAAAATGCACATGAACATGATATAAGCTAGGAGCCTAGGATAAATGCCTTAAAATGTGGAAGTTCAAGGACTATATACATTTATGGTTTGAATTCAGTTTCCATATCATCCTTGGTCCATGGCTTGGTGAACTTTTGCATAAATGTGTAATTCATTATAAAGCTGGAAGTAGACCTGGATTTGATCAATTCGGTAGCTTTGAATGTTATTCTTGAAGTCATGTATGAGATAGAGTACATGAAAGACCTGCTAATTGTTAGTTTCTTCTTGTGGTTGGATTGACTGTGTCCTTTTGTACCCAGGTGCTGTTTTCTGATGGTTTGCTGGCCCTTTGTTTTTATGTTCAAGGACCATCCTATCTAGCCGTCATACCTGCAGATTAAATTGATGAGCGTCATTTTGCTTTTAAACTTCTATATGACCAGGATGTTACACTAAGAGCAGTATCAATTTCAGCGCAGCTGCTTGATTAGTATGTCAATGTAGTTTGCTGAGCACGTACCATATGATTTTGAAAATTTAAGGCAGATAGCATCTGTAATAGTAGTCCCTAATCCGCAACAAGTTCTGTAATTCTTTCATGTTATCTCCATCTGATATCCTGTTTTGTCCAGATTGCCAGGGCTGAAGCATCTGAGATTGTCATCCCTTTGTTGGATTAAGAGAATACCGATTCTCCCAGTTACCTACAGATTAACTCAGTCAAAGAAACCTCACCTTTCCAACCTTCTCTGGATTCTAATCATCCACAAGTCCTAGTATCAAGTACCATCAATTCAACTCAATCAAAGAAGCCTCACCTTTCCAACCTTCTCTGGCTTCTAATCATACACCAGTTCTAGTGTCAAGTACCATCAATTAGACAGCTACTTTGCTCTCTCTGCTACCATGTTAACAAATGCTAACGTTGTTTCTCCATATCAATCAAGTCAAATACAGATAGATTAATGCCGAAGCAAGAGCTTTGTTATAGCCACAAAGGAGATTTTTTGTTGGGGCCACATGGAATCTCTGCTTTCCTTTATCAAATTATCATTTTATCCACGCAATTCAAAAGACAAAGTCACTTTAATGTGATAAAAAGTAATTTAACAAGGAAAAAGAAAGTTTGTGTATGCCCCAACAAATTTTCGTGTGAACATAATTGGTGCTCAAAGCAAGAGACGTGGGTATTACCCCCACATAAGAATGGTAGGGCCATATAATTTGGGTTTTTGTTTTTCTTATTAAATAGTTGATTATAATGTTTGAAAACATTATTTTGTAAACTGATTTTAATTTATTAATTAAGAAATAGTTATTTTATTATTTATTGACTAACAATTACAACTTCTAACAATTACTAACAGACAAACCAAACAAAATTAGTGTAACATGTCTCCAAAGGCAGTTCGTAGTTACTGAATTTAGCATCAAACCAATTCTTTTTCTTTGGGTTTGGGGAACAAAGTGTCTTTTGTTAATTTTTATGTACTTTGAAATTAATAATTTCTTAGAAGGTTTTACTATGTTTGGATAAAAATTAATAAAAGAAAGAGAAGGAAATGGAGGGGAAGGGAAAAGGGAAGAAGAGTAAGAGATTAATATTAATTTTGTTTAAATAGATTGAAAAAGAGGAAAGAAAGGGAGGGAGAGATTTTTTTATTTAATTAAACAAATTAAAAAAATAATTATAAAATTAATTAAACTTTTATAAATTTGTATATTAAGATTAAAATTAAAATATAAATTTTAATTATATTTTTTTTAAAATAAAATATATAAAAATAAATCTAATCCTTCCAAATTCTCTTAAATTGGAGAGAGCATCCTCTGCATCTTCTTCTTGGCAAGTGACAATTATTTTAGAATTTTCCTTTAAAGGGCATAGGGTACGGAGAGCTGGGAATAAAACTCAGGAAGTGTTGGTGTTCCTTCCACAAAGGAGCCAAGTGGTCATTTGATCCATCACACAGGAGAACAAGCATCCTTTACATTTTTTTTCTTTTGAATGGATTATAATTTGGAAATGAGGGATTCAAACCCTAATCTTTTAGTTGAAAATGCACCTTAAGAAAAGACATATAATCATCAGATCATGAAGTGCCCGTTTGGTGTAATTGGAGTTTTTAATAAAAGTTCTGTTAGAAAGAATGGTTATAGAAGTGTTATTTTTTGTAAATAGAAAAAAAGTAAAAATAAAATAAGAATAATGTTTTAATTTCATTAAAATCCAAATAAAAAATTTTTGTATAAATACCAATTTGATGCTCCTGAGGTTTACAATGAAATAAACAAAAAAAACTAACTTATGAGAAATTGTAGCATTTTTCATAAATTATAATATTTGGTGCAGTTCAAATTTTTGAAATTCAAAAAAACTTTTTACTAACTGTACTAAACATAGTCAAAATCAACTGCAACAAGCATCCTTTACATTAATTTGATACATTTAACAAAATTAAGGAAGACTAAATTTTTCCGTACGAGATTCAAGTTTTAAACTTTGACCCCAAATTTGAGATTATAGGAATTGGTGGGATGGAAGACTTTGACAACCCAAAAGTCGCAAATTAAAGAGTCTCATGATGTGACTGCATAAAACGGCGTCGTATGGTATTTGATTGGGTTGGTTGTGCAGTGAACGATAGACCGTTATTTCAGGTACACGGTCCCCCAAAGAACCTCTCGCTCTCCCCTCAGAAACATTCGCATTTATAGCCAAAAATCAATTCACCATCCAAATTCATTCCCAAACCCCAACGTAACCTCCCAATTTTCCCTCTTTTCTTTCCTATCCTTCCTCCGCAGAGAGAGAAAGGTCATGATATCGGTCTGCTGTGCTCTGCTCCGCTCCACCAAGCTCATGATCTGCCGTATCATCCTCCCTTAACCCACATTCAATCCATACCCACTTGACAAAAGATTCAACCTTTTTCCACCAGGATTATCATTTCCACCATTTTCCTTTCTGGGTCATGGCGAAACGGTCGTTCAAGCGGTTTGTGGAACAAGAACTGGGTTTGTTCCCTCGGTTCTTGATTTACGCCGTGCTTGAATGGATGCTGATTGTCGTTCTCTTCATCGATGGGTTTCTTGCGTTTCTCGCCAACGAATTCGCTAGGTTCTTCGAATTGCAGATCCCGTGCTTGCTCTGCACCAGAATCGATAATGTTCTTGTTCATAGAAGTCCTGATTTCTACTACAACGATTCGTTTTGTGATGCTCACAAGAAGGACGTTTCGTCTCTGGCGTTCTGTCATGTTCACAAGCAGCTTTCCAATATCCAGCGGATGTGTGAGGGGTGTCTTCTGTCGTTTGCGACGGCAAAGGAGTCTGATTGCGAGACGTACAAGTCTCTGGTAGGGATTTTGCACAAGGATGTTGAGTTGTTCGTTGATGTCGATCAAGAACTTCATCTGTTGCTTCCTACCGGCAAGAAGGACGAAGCGGTGATTCTAGAGAAGGGCAACGAGCACAGGTGTTCCTGTTGCGGGGAGCCATTGAAGGTGAAAGTGAAACCGTCTAACGTGAAAGGGAAAAATCCCGTGGTGTTATCCTCTGCTCCAGCTCCCTCTCCCCGAGCACTCTTCTCTTCGAGGAATGAAGACCGTGGATTGGACATGAGCCATATCAAGTACAAGGAGCTCAAGCTTGTCCCTGATGAATCAGAGCATCATGAGGATGATGATAGTTCCAGCACAGTGAGCCTCGAGAAACAATGTGAGTTTGAAAAACCATCTTCGTTCACTTTTCTTTGCATTTCTTGTAGATTTCGTCGTTTTATATAGTAAATTTCTTGATTTTTAGGACTCTTTCATTCATCCTTAGAGTTCATGGGTGTCTTTGAATTGGTTATGGAGAACATATAACATGCTTGTTCAATATTTGATAAATTTACCCACAGAAAAGCTTCAATATGATTGATATACTTCCTAGTGATGTTTATCTGTGTTTTTCTGAGTTTGGTGGTGGCTATTTTGTTCTCCAGTTAAGGAAGAGGGGAAAGCTGCTGCAGTACCTTCGCTGATAGATGCGGATGAGGAAGATAAGACCCCCAATTTTGTTAGGAATAACAGGTTTTTTGGAATCCCACTTTCAGATTCAGCAGCAGCCAGTCCTAGGTGGCCTGGAAGACCTTTAAATTTTAGGAAATCACTGCTCGAAAGGACAGATTCTGTGTCGGAGACTCCAGAGGGAAATGTGTCAACTGAGACAGATGGTGATTCTATTCTGCATCATTTGAAGAGACAAGTTCGTCTGGATCGCAAGTCCCTGATGGCTTTGTACATGGAACTGGATGAAGAAAGAAGTGCATCTGCTATTGCAGCTAACAATGCGATGGCCATGATCACCAGGTTGCAAGCAGAGAAGGCAGCTGTTCAGATGGAGGCATTGCAGTACCAGAGAATGATGGAGGAGCAGGCAGAGTATGACCAAGAAGCTCTGCAAGCAATGAATAATTTGCTCTCCAAGAGGAATGAAGAAATTAAGGAATTGGGGGCTGAACTTGAGGCCTACAGAGTAAAATATGGATGCTTAAGGGAAGATGAATTTGCAATGCCAGGAGAAGAAGAGAGTGATGAGGTTTACCAAATCTCGAAACCTCCCTCCTACTCATCCTCAAATGGAAGATCAGAATGCGGCAGCCCTACTCATAGTCTCAATGAAGGGTACAATAATGATGAAAAACCACAGAATTATGAGCGATCAAGTTCTGTGCTGGATGAGATTGAAGGAGAGGCAACTGACAAATTGCAGAAATCCTTTCAAGCAGATAAGGTCCGTTACTTGGGTCGGTTGAGCAATCTAGACAAGAACAAGCAACTTTCATCAGATAATGGGAATGATTCCTCACATTCCAGTTCTGATAATTTTGACCACAAGGAGGAAGAGATAGGTAACACAGCCATTCATAGACACAATCCTAGTCATTGATGAACAAGTTCTCAAGATGTGGCCTTAGAGGGCTTTGAGAGTTCAGTCTGATGTAATCATACACTTTATGCAATTTAGATTCTTTCTTTTTCTGTATTTTCACTGCTTTCTTTTAAAAAAGCTGCTTCTTTATCATTAAAAGAAAAGAATATGATGATTGGTTTTGGCAAGTAAAATCCCATGTTCTGTATTTTTAGTGAAATCATAAAAGGATCAATTGTCTTTTCAACATTCCGGGGAAGTAAAGCCAATATCCTTGAAGCAGATGGTGCAACCCTAAAACTTGTCTTTCAAACAGACAGCAATGGTGGCGTCATTGCTTGTTGAGGACAAGTAGTCATTTTAGTGGTAAGTATGTTTGCCTACATACTGCTAATCACTTTCAACTTGATAATCTGTTGAAATTTAAAAGTTAAACTGATTGATTCAAGGAATCTGGGATTCATTACTTGCTCCTACTTGATTACTTAAGGCCTACCTTTTTGATTGTTGTTGATAGTTGTTATCATGTGACTGTATTAAATAGGAAAGACACAAGCACTCCGATGTGTTGAGATTCACACACACTTTAGAAATGGAGAAGTTTATCCTTTCTATTCAAACAGGAATAGAAAGTAAGCCTCTTTCTTTCTAATCACTCGTTAATCAGCTCATTCTTCTCATTGTGAACTGCTGCTTGTTTCTCTTACTTCCAACATGGTTATGTCTCTGTATTCTTCACCTCTCTGACGAATTTTTACTTCCCTCCCCTAACCAAACAATACTTTCACTGATATTTTACAAATTGCAGATAGCCAGATCGTTTGAGTATCTGTTTATTAGACCAGTGAAAAACTTGTCCAGCTGGTGGTGTGCTGAATTAGATGATCTTCGATTTAGTAAAATTTTTTCACTTGTTTTTGCTGTCAGGTGTATACACAATTGGTACATTGTTATCTTTGAAGGTTATGAAGTTCTTGGAAGTTCTTAGCATAAGAAATTTTAGATTGCATTGATTCGCTCATTTATGCATATTTTGATTTCAATGTATATTTCCAATCTGTGAGTTAAGTTTGCAATTTAAAATAGATGCATGTTTTTACCGTAAAAGATCCTGATGGTGATCTGTAGTGTTTATGAATTATATAATTGTCTTTCCCTTTGTTCTCTCAAAAACAAAACAATATGAAAATATGATCACATGATGGTTTTTTTTTTTTCTTTTTTTTTGTCAAACCCCTTATTTGCACCTTACATATATATATATTTTTTTATGGTTAACACCCTTCATAATTTGAAGTCCGTAAATAACACCCCAAATTACTAGCAAAATTAGGGTGCAAGCCAAGGGTTTTACCATTAATTTTTGGGTTTTTTTTTTTTTTTTTTTTATAGATTTCAAATTATAGAGGGTGTTAACTAGAAATAAAAATTTTAAATTTAAATTATTTGACATATGAATGAAATAAATTTAAAAAATAAAAAAATATATTTTATCACTTAATTCAAAATTTAATAAAAAAAATCTACAACTAACCTAATAATTATTTATATTAAGGTAAACATTCCTTTAAAAATTTAATTTTTATAAAACTTTAATTTTAAATTACTAGTAATATATTAATCATACTCATATTTCAACTCTAAAATAGGATTTGAAACAAGTATATAATAAAATTAAATTGCTAATAATATACTAATCATACTTATATTTCAACTCTGAAATAAGATTTGAAGCAAGTACATAATAAACAATAATTTAAATTTAAATTTATAATTGAAAACACAAATAATAAGAAATAATTATATTATGAGACAATATGACTGACTTTGGTGACAATTACCCCTTCATTTACGGACCTATGCATGACTTGCACCGTTTCACTTATCTGAAAGTGAAGTTCAACTACCTATTGTATCTACATTTTTTTTTTTATTTGGATCCCTCAATTTCCGAAAATTTATTAAGTCACCAACTAATTCAGATTTGAATCGAATAAATCCAATGAACGGAAAAATTCTTTTTCATAAATTTTAATAAAATTACATTATCAAAACTTGAAATTAAGATCTCAAAACTTGAAATTAAGATTTCTGATTAAATTAAAAAAATCTTTTATTAATAATTCATCCATCCGTTCATGAGTCTATTGTATCTACATTTTTTTTTTATTTGGATCCCCCAGTTTTTGAAAATTTATTAAGTCACCAATTAATTTAGATTTGAATCGGATAAATCCAACCAACGGCAAAGTTTTTCCTCATGAATTTTAATAAAATTACATTCTCAAAACTTGAAATTAAGATATCTGATTAAGTTAAAAAAATATTTTATTAATTCATCCATCCGTTCGTGGGTCCATTGTATCTACATTTCAAAAAGTTAAATGATAGTCAAGACCACAACCAGTCTACCACAATACCCTTGTTTGATTGGTTCTAATGCATCATTGGAAACTTCTGTTTTTCACATTGCAAGACTTGGTCTTTTTGCCTTTTCGTTGTTTTCAACTTTGTCCGTGTACGTTAGGTGTTAAATTCTCACTCGTATTATCATTTGGCCTTTATGACCTTTTCCTTTGGAAATGACAAATTTATTCTCCGTGGCTCATCAATGATCAGTTTTCCTTTCTTCACAATTTTTTCTCGGAAGCTGCCAACCCCTGCCAATTTTCCGATTGTGGGACTTATTTTAATAACAATTTGTTGTTATTGTACCTTAAGGGAATTATTAAGTAATCATTATAATTTTTTTTGAAAGAAGTAAAATTTTATATTAAAAAA